TCCCCCCACCCCCCAAAAAATAACCCAACAATAGTGGGATACAGCAGGATTCCCCCTCCCAAACAACAACTACAACAAACCTGCAGGGACACAGAAATGTATGCATGCATTGACAGGCTATAAAGAAAGAGAAAGGAAAGAAAGGAAAGTATAGTTCCTACCTGGTAAGTAAGACTGATTCAGAAAATATAAAGTGGCTGGCTAAGTAAGGAAGATACAGAAAAATATAGTGACTTGCCGGCCATGTTAGAAAAATACAACCATGGCAATTGTGTGCAAACAGTTGACAGTGCTTAAAGAGTCCAGTGTAGTCAAGTTAGAGTAGCTAGTATGATAACCTGGTGGAAACAATGTATTTTATCATATATAGACCATTTGGTAACAGATTGGACATGACCATTTCACATCTAAACCATTTATCCTTTTGCAATTTCAGCTTGAAACATAACAACTTTTCAAATTATTCAAGGATGTCAGTATCGGTTTGAGGGGAAAACACAGAAAATTAATGAAAGGATTAATAATTGTATCGACATTATTGAGAAATGCTACATATATAAAATGTTAGATTAAGTAGCATTCACTCAGTACCTCAAGCCCTTTACCTCTCTAGTAACTACACGAACCACCATCAATTTTTCACACATAATTGTAAAGGGCGGATAGCTATATGATATATAATATGTGCATATAATATTATATATATATATGCATGTGACCCTAGGTCACGACTAAATACCGACCTGTGGGCTATCTGAGGACTGGTTTTGCTGATTCCACAAGCTACGCATTATTGGGCTTTCTAGCCCATGCTGTGGTTGACCCGGCTGTAAAATAGGTCAAGCATATCTAAAGCTCAGTTAATGAAGCATAACCCAGCCTGGTATTGGTCAGAATCCCACAACAAGTCGTGTTGCCATGGAAACTGGAGTTTGAAGTGTTTAAGCTAACAGTATGCTAGACAGCCAATCACTGATGTTACAGGCAAGGCATGTATGTCACTGATGTCATCAAAAAATTCCGTTTTCACTTACATTTGTTTTTCATTGCCATATAAAAGATGATATAAAAGTGTTTATATAATAGACTCAGATTTTTAGAAAATGACAATCTTAATGATCTCACAGATTTTCTACATGAAAAAGGGATCAAATATTATTGTTAATTCCTGAATGATGTTTTGTTGTTGTCTGTATCAATATTTTGATTTAAGACTCGTGAGAACTATATGAACTGGAGATTTGCCAGTAACAGTGATTGCCTAACCAACACATTTAGACCTATACACTTAAAAACACCAAAATTAGTAACAGTTCATACTCCATGCAAACTCTTTTTGCTTTGTGGAAAACAAAAACATTTGTTTCTGACCGATTAACAAATAAAAGTGTGAAAAAGCTCATTATTAGACAAATTTCATACCTGCATGCATTTGACTTTATTTAATTAGTAAAATGTAAGCTTATTATATCAGCCAGATAAAGCATTGGACTTCTGTAACGCTAGCGTCATATACAAATGGTAACATTCTCGAGACTTGACAATGATATCGGCACTCTTTCCCAGTTCAAGGGAGTAACTCATATATATTTGATGTAATTAGGTCAAGAGTTATAAGTCAAAGTAATTGATGGAGTGTGAACTGTAGTGACTAGCCTAGAGACCCACATTGTGATGACACTAGTCACCACCCAGACATTAACTGTAGTGTCTAGCCTAGAGACCCACATTGTGAGGACACTTGTCACCACCTAGACCTTAACTGTAGTGATTAGCCTAGAGACCCACATTGTGATAACACTTGTCACCACCTAGACAATAACTGTAGTGACTAGCCTAGAGCCCCACATTGTGGTGACACTAGTCCCCCCCTAGACATTAACTGTAGTGATTAGCCTAGAGACCCACATTGTGATGGCACTAGTCACCACCTAGACATAAACTGTAGTGACTAGCCTAGAGGCCCACATTGTGATGACACTAGTCACCACCTAGCCATTAACTGTAGTGACTAGCCCAGAGACCCACATTGTGGTGACACTAGTCACCACCTAGTCATTAACTGTAGTGACTAGCCCAGAGACCCACATTGTGGTGACACCTGTTACCACCTAGACATTAAGCGTTAACTAGCCATTCTACCAGGCACAACTTAGTGAGGACTACAAACAACAATAACTAATTACTCTAATGTCATACCACAGCAATTCAACACGGAGTAACTCATATATATTTGATGTAATTAGGTCATGAGTTATAAGTCAAAGTAATTGATGGAGTGTGAACTGTAGTGCCTAGCCTAGAGCCCCACATTGTGATGACACTTGTCACCGCCTAGACATTAACTGTAGTGACAAGCCTAGAGACCCACATTGTGGTGACACTTGATACCACCTAGACATTAAGTGTTAACTAGCCATAGACCCACATTGTGATGACACTAGTCACCACCCAGACATTAACTGTAGTGTCTAGACTAGAGACCCACATTGTGATGGCACTAGTCACCACCTAGACATAAACTGTAGTGACTAGCCTAGAACCCCACATTGTGGTGACACTTGCCACCACTTAGACATTAACTGTAGTGACTCGCCTAGAGACACACATTGTGATGACACTTGTCACCAACTAGACATTAACTGTAGTGACAAGCCTAGAGACCCACATTGTGGTGAAACTTGTTACCACCTAGACATTAAGCGTTAACTAGCCATTCTACCAGGCATAACTTAGTGTGGTCTACAAACAACAATAACTACTTACTCTAATGTCATACCACAGCAATTCAACACGGAGTAACTCAGATATATTTGGTTTAATGAGGTCAAGAGTTATAAGTCAAAGTAATTGATGGAGTGTGAACTGTAGTGACTAGCCTAGAACCCCACATTGTGGTGACACTTGTCACCACCTAGACGTGAACTGTAGTGACTAGCCTAGAACCCCACATTGTGGTGACACTTGTCACCAACTAGACATTAACTGTAGTGACAAGCCTAGAGACCCACATTGTGATAACACTTGTCACCACCTAGACAATAACTGTAGTGACTAGCCTAGAAACCCACATTGTGATGACACTTATCACCACCTAGACATTAACTGGAGTGACTAGCCTAGAGACCCACATCGTGGTGACACTAGTCACCAACTAGCCTAGAGACCCACATTGAGATGACAATTGTCACCACCTAGACATTAACTGTGGTGTCTAGGCTAGAGACCCACATTGTGATGGCACTAGTCACCACCTAGACATAAACTGTAGTGACTAGCCTAGAACCCCACATTGTGGTGACACTTGTCACCCCCTAGACATTAACTGTAGTGATTAGCCTAGAGACCCACATTGTGATAACACTTGTCACCACCTAGACAATAACTGTAGTGACTAGCCTAGAGGCCCACATTGTGATGACACTAGTCACCACCCAGACATTAACTGTAGTGACTAGACTAGAGACCCACATTGTGATGGCACTAGTCACCACCTAGACATAAACTGTAGTGACTAGCCTAGAGTCCCACATTGTGGTGACACTAGGCACCACCTAGACATTAACTGTGGTGACTAGCCTAGAGACCCACATAGTGGTGACACTAGTCACCACCTAGACATAAACTGTAGTGACTAGCCTAGAAACCCACATTATGGTGACACTTGTCACCTCCTAGACATTAACTGTAGTGATTAGCCTAGAGACCCACATTGTGATAACACTTGTCACCACCTAGACAATAACTGTAGTGACTAGCCTAGAACCCCACATTGTGGTGACACTTGTCACCAACTAGACATTAACTGTAGTGACAAGCCTAGAGACCCACATTGTGATGATGATGTAATTAGGTCAAGAGTTATAAGTCAAAGTAATTGATGGAGTGTGAACTGTAGTGCCTAGCCTAGAGCCCCACATTGTGATGACCCAGTCACCACCTAGACATTAACAGTAGTGCCTAGCCTAGAGACCCACATTGTGAGGACACTTGTCACCACCTAGACAATAACTGTAGTGACTAGCCTAGAGACCAACATTGTGATGACACTTGTCACCAACTAGACATTAACTGTAGTGACTAGCCCAGAGACCCACATTGTGGTGACACTTGTTACCACCTAGACATTAAGTGTTAACTAGCCATTCTACCAGGCACAACTTAGTGTGGTCTACAAACAACAATAACTACTTACTCTAATGTCATACCACAGCAATTCAACACAAAAAAATATTTATCAAATGATTGAAGTTGAATATTTCATTTAATGAAATTAGTTTTAAAACAATTGTAAAATAACAGTCAAATGCAACCTAGTAAATTGTAAGGCATAAGGGCAGGGAGGGTTCAAGCTGTGGGGTAACAGTGATAGCTAGTGACCTAACAAAGGAATGGGTCATTTGGAAGGGAGGAAATAAAAGATATTATACATGTTAAATCTGAAGTTTTACAGCAGCAAATGTATATATATATAGAGTAGCTATATATCTTTATGTATCCTTGCAGAAAGGGTAGCCATACATACTGAATATACCATTAATATCTTACATATTATGAAAGTAAAGATTGAGTATAAATGTATGAGGAAAGTTCAAATTGGAAGATCATATATATTTTGTATTTTGTGATTGTAGCAAAAATTGAAAATTTCCTAACAATGTACCCTAAAATGCCTACAAATGTGTTCCGATCTTTTAAATGCTTATGTTCTGGTTGGTAGGGATTTTATCAGGATATTCCAGTTAAACTTGATCAAACTACCCCATCACCAATACTCTAGTCTCACTTCATCACCAACTACCTCTGAACCTAATAGACATTAATAGCAATCATAGCCAAACAGCACCCAAGAAACCAACCAGCAAGCAGTAAGTTTATTCCAACCGCCAATTAATAAATATTATCCAATCAGATTACATTGGTTTATCACGTGACCAACCTGCGACACATCCTTTTCCCTGACGATGGTCTGTAGGCGGGTTTTCAGGTCAATATTGGTTTCATGCATTTTCACCATATCTTTGTGTGTGTTTTCAAGCTGTTCTTTCAGTGAGTCAACCTGTGGATGGAAATTGTCTAGGCCCTGCAGACACTCATTGGCTACACTAATTAATTAATACACACTAACCTCCGACCCTTCCTTCAACTCATTGACTACCAACCAAAGAGATAAACTAAGAAATAGTAATCAAATCAGAATGAGTCATCTTTATCATATTAGTAAAATGTTATTTCATTTCCTAGTACCGAGCACCTATGATCTGATTTCTTTTTCATCGTTTTGTTCAATGATGAAAGGTTCATGAACTATATAATGTATCAGATACAAGGTTCAAAAGGGAGACTTCTAAAAGGTTTATTTTAGTAAAGCATACAATTCCAGTAAGCTGAATAAGGTTATCACTTTCTTCAAGTTACATTTTCTATTGATTATATTTCTTGGAAGTCAGCTATGATTTTTATTTAAATAAATTAAAAAAAGAAAGATTTCTTAAGATGACTATAGAGATTGTCAATGTTAGCAGGATCAACCAAGTAAAAGAAATTTGAAACTAAAGATGGAAAAAACAATATAATGCATGCAACTAATTCAAACAATAAGGTGGAAAGTGAAGCTTGCTGTATTTCCTCTATCTTCCTTAAAACATTTTTTTATTGTTACCAATTTACTGCAGTTTAAAGAATCTTTTTTTTTTAACTTGACAACTTTGGTTGAAAAGGAAAACACCTTTAGCAGAAGAACCTTTGTGTATAGAATCTGTGAAATAATTCAAACTTAACAACAAGCTTGATTTTTAAACAAAATTGCCTATCTCAAGCAACCAAGACACAGATTAACTCTTCTGTCTTGGAGGTGATATTGACAACCATAAAGTATAAATGTTTATGTACCTCCGTTTCTAAGAGTTCCACCAGTATACCATCCCCACCAGCTGAGGAATCACCAGTGGAAGCCTGGGTGTCTTCTGATGTTGTGAAATTGCTGTCTTGGTAACCGTCCTGTAAGAATAAATATTTCATTAACAAGTGAAAAAGAATTGAATAGTACATCTTAATTAATGTTTAGAAAATATTTAGTTTAATTTCAAATGAATTTCAGTTCCTTTCACTTTAGAACTTGATCAACTTTATTCATACATGTACTAGGAAAACACAATTTTCTATTTGATTTTATTGATACTTTAGATACAACTATACTACCTATTCTACTGTCAACTATTCCATTCAAGACAATTCAACATAATTGCCCATGCTGTGCCTCCTTTCACTCAGCTTTAGGAATCTTTGCAGAATCTAAAGGTAAAATTTCCAAAAAGTTTTCTCCTATATCTTTGATTCCAAAATTGAGAAGACTGTTTCATTTCACATTTTCTACATTTTTCAAAGGGTTACCCTGCACAGAAATGTTTAGCTAGAGTTATTTCCCTTGGCATGTTAAAAACGAGGGTTATGTAATGCAACAAAACTTGACTAGCTGTTTACACGGAAATTTGGAAGACGCGGATGGGAGAAATAGATACATTTTTATTACGAAGAGTAGTTAATGCCAAGAACAGTGTCAAGGTAATTTCCAATTAATATTTACCCCACCAAGATGCTGTTGCAGGTCAATCACTTGTATAGAACTAACAGTTTCCTCCTCAGCTGATGCAGACATCCCATAATACTCATCATCTGACATCTGCTGTGGTGGTGTCGGAATCTTGCCACCTTTGCTGCGAGACTTTTCTTTCACACGAGCACTTGGTGACTTTGCTCGTCTTGATTTCTCATCCTCCTCTTTCCTACTTTCGCTACTAACCGCCCGACGAGAGGCTAAGTCCTCCCCTGCTTCAGGGGCGGGTGGTGGAAGTGTTGAGGTAAGGGATGCACTGTCACTCCCTTCGACATACCGACCCAATGGTTCGCTGGCACTAGGTTCAGGTGAGAACTTGGCACTACTTACTGATTTCTTATTTGCTGAATCTACTTGATCGTCCAGACCCGATTTTTTCTCCGGTTCAGGGGGAGATGTTGCCCCACTAACTACACCTACAATGGTTGGTGGTTGAGATATACGTGTCAGAGCAGGAGATAAATCCTTCACAGAAAACTTCACATTTCCTGGACTAACGTCTGAATAATGTCTTCTCATATTTTTTGTTGTAGCACGTTTATGAATATCTTTGGGACTTTCTGATGATGACCGACTGTCCATTGACCCACTTAATCGACTACTATCAGCCGAAGCACTAAGGTCAAGGTCATCTACAGTACGAGGTGAAGAGTCAGCAGAGTTTGACAACAATGAAGAGGTAGATTGTTTACTGCCAGTTTGCAGGTCCATTACTAGTCGTATTGCTTTTAACCAGTTGTTACGTATCCCAGAGGTCATAGCAGCGAGGACATACTCCCCATTCCGTGACTGAAATGACAAACCAAACAATCATTTCATGACATGCAGCTATTTGTGTTTCTGTTTTATACATATACCAATTTCTTTAAGGGTTAAAAAGGCCAAATAATAAGAGGATTTGTAAATGGCACTTACAAATTCTTTCTAGAGAAAAAATCAAGATGTTTCCAGCTTTTAGGTCAACACTTCAAAACCAAATATAAAAATTCCTCCTCAACATACCTTGATCCTGAAGCCAAAGTTACGGCCAATATCAACCTCGGATATATCAAAACAAGTAGAGAGGTCGATACGGCCATCTAGAGTATTGCTTTCTTCTGCCTGAGCATCCCTGTAATACCGCAGGGAGTTTCCCGTCAACACAAACCAATGTTTCTTCCAGTCCTATATTATATATAAATAATAATACATGTATTATAAAAACTGTGCTGTTAAAAAAATGTCTTACATGAAAGTTTTACACCCACAGGAAATATGTGCTTACGTGTGTGAATATCGTACCTTTTGTATGCTAACTTGTGATAAGAAATTGTATTAGTGAACAGTTGTTGCACTTTCTCCAATAAGAATTGCAAACAGTATTGATGATATATTAAGTACATGTAAATATCCTTCCCCTAAAATGATGAAACTTCACAGTAAAGAAATCAGCCCCACGGTCTCTGGTATGCCGGCACTTCCATACGAGCTAGTCACATATAGTTCCGATGTGTTGTAATACCTCGGTGCACGCCTTACCTTCTCTGATGTCCCTTGCTTGATAAGCCAGCCTTTCTTCATGTACATCAGATCCTACAAAATACACACATTAAACGCACTGTACATCAAAACATAGAAAAATAATGTCACCAGATTTACAACAAGATAAATGTCCCTGGTTTTTACCAATGTCATCAAACAGTATCATATGAAAAGTAGAAATTAGAATTTGAAATTCCATCATGATCTATCAATGATGAGATGTAAACAGTGAAGTACAAGCTTGAGCTTAAGTTTGAGTGCTCTGCTGTAAATCAGTGTCAAAGTGATCTCATCTCAATTCTACAAGACGATATACAAATCAGAATTCTAAGAAACTCTAGAAGGTCAGACTGTGTAAGTTTTGTGGAACTGTCTGCTGTCTTACTTCATATTTATTGGAAGGTGATCCCTGGCTCTGTGGAGAACTCCCAGAAATGGACGGCTGTGATCTACTTCTACTAGCGGCCTGGAACTCCGTAGACTTGGCCATCTACAACACAGAACAATATTTATACCCATGAGAAAAAGAAGTCTGAAATATGTTTAAGAGAAAAAGCAAACTCAGATTAATTTGCTATCTGCTTAAAAGTCAACCAGATGTGGTTTGAAAATCTCCATATTAAATGTTCTGTCTAACCCAATATACTGATGTTCCCAATATACTGATGTAATCTCAATAAACTCCTACATTTTTTTATAATTTGGAAAGAAATTAAGACTAAAGATACAAAACAGGCCTTTTCACACAACCCCAATATCAAATAGAAGCACACTCATTTTGACTCATCATTTACCTATCAGTATCATTCTCAACCCTTTTCTCTAAAATGCACCTTTGTTCAGAGGCTAGGATTGAATTTCTCCGTCTAATCTTGTTTTGAAGTAAGGGCCGACAGTAAAGGTACATGTACTGATAATGACGGTATAACATTTCACTTCCTCACTAAAAGCCTACTGTGATAACCAATGTGAATACTACCTTTTGGGTACATCATCTTAGGTACAAGTTAAACAACATTGCTGGAACAGTCAAATTCAACTTCAGAGCAACAGTTAAACTCAACATAAAATTCTCCATCACCTTGGTTACAACAGTTGTACTCAACACAAAACTCTATAATCACCTTGGCAACAGCAGTTGTACTCAACACAACACTCTATAATCACCTTGGCAACAGCAGTTGTACTCAACACAA